TGCTTAAAGGTTAGGAACTCTCCTTACAAGAATCTTTTTCAATGCTTTAGTTTCTGTCTGACTGAAATAACTGGAGACATGCAAGCTAGCTGTTAACAAGCAATACTTCATTATAAATGTGGTGAGGTACTGGAAAAGATTGCCCTAGGATCTGACTTACCACAACTTTTCAGTGATACAAACTTCTAACGCATTACTAGGAGTTCACAGTATGATGACACCATATATTAAATGTTTAGTCGCTGCATAATGCAAACATTGTTTCAACAGCAACGCCAGCCATTTAGTATCAGGGATTTGAAGGAGTTTTAAATCAAGAGTGTAAGACAGAGTGTCATGCTACATAGAAGTTGAGCTACAAATACGCACTGAACTTGAAATTGCTCTTGTGAACAACTTGCTCACAAACTTCTAAAAGACCTTCAACCAGTCATTACCCTTTTTAAAAGATTTCTATGTACTTAATAGAGCCTCTTCTCTCTTTCAAGTTCTGCAGCATCATTTGCTACACCTCAGCACTTCCAGCTAACTTTCCTCCATTACACTTTCATGAGAAACTTTCACTACAATTCCCAAATACTTTAATGAACAGAAATCACATTCCAGACATAATAGCCTAATAATTTTCATACTTTAAAAAGCAGGTATGCAAGGTAATATGAACTTAAAAATCTAATAAACCCACCAAATTCAATCTCTTTTTTCTTTTTTTTTTTTTTTACACCTTTATCTAAATTTGTTTTATTGGAAGAGGTAATATTGTAACTATAAGCTCATGAGGTCCTGAATGAACTGTGGATGTAGCTACTGAAACTCATAGGCCTTCTGTTATTTGAACTTCAGATCTCACTTTCTCTGTATTTTTTTTCAGCTGGAAGTCAAATAGCCACCTTTTAGCCATACTCCTGAGATGGGAACAGAAATTTGAGGTTCAGAGCCCAGGAACTATTTATATTTACCAGTTGTTGGTTTCATTAACCAAGAGATTTGTTTTATGGTAGATTTCTTTTCTCAAAGATAAAATATAGCACAGTTTTCTCAGAAGCTACACTGAAAACCGAGGTTCAGTAATACTGTGATAAGGAGTTTTAAACATGCTGCCCTGTCATGAGGAAACTTTGCCAAATGTGATTATTCCTCCCACCTCAGAAGTAGGTGAATAGTGCCATGATCTCCAAATATCCTGACAGTGGATGAGACTACAGCAATAGATTTAAGAGGTCTGACACTAATGGAGGTGTAGATTAAGGGAGAATCTCAGACCTCATAATAGATTTGCTGAGTTCCCAACACCACCAGATGTGTTAGTAGACATGCAGGTAGGCAACCTATCTTTAAACCCACTGCTTTCCAGCTGTGGCTACGTGTGCCACATGTCTCATGGTAATGCCTTATTTTCAGCAAGATCTAAGAAATTAGGATGGAGTTCTTTTCACATCCCTGATTCTTAAAAGCCACTCATGGTAGGATTTATCTAGAGAAACCATTGAAAAGATGTTGGTTATCTTCCTGTAAAGTGCTGAAGGGAAATTTGGGTTGGAGAGAAATTCTGGTCCTGTTTTTCCTGAGAGTATTGTTTGAAAAAGAGCATGCTATAGATAGAATATAGCATTTACTTGGGATCATAAATTGTGGATAGCTTCTGAGAGTATATTGTAGTGAGTGATTTCAAAAACTAAGGCATTTTCAGTTTCCATTAACAACTACAAAAATTCTCCTCAGTTTCATAATGTGTGAAAGTATATGTGACATGTATGCATAAGCATGGACATAAACCATATATATTTGTATGCATATATACATAAAAACTATTCTCTCATATATAGTTAGAGATGCAGACCATCTAAAAGATATATAGGCACTTTATTTCGTTCTATTTGTAAGTTTACAGTTCTTTCTTTCCTGCTCAGATAGTGCACCAAAATGACAGATGTTTCAGAAAACTAGCAATGAGTGAAGTATATCACGGCAGAGTATTCAAGTACATCACTAAAGTACAGCATTTGAGATGGGCTAGAGTTACTTTCCCTGATAGTTGATTCATTTTTAAAAGTAACTCCACAGAAAACCACTCTTTTCCTCTAAGCACTTTGTTTCTAATTTTGAGATCCTAGGCCAAAGTCAGTGGATTTGTATAACACATTTAAATTACAATTTAGAACTTTATCAAGTAGTGTAATTATCTGATTTATCAATGTTATAAAACGTGTTACTTACATGCAAACTGAAGAACAGCCTCTCTGCTAAGAATACTGCCAAATGTGTTTGTAGTTAAACACTGATACTGTCCAGAATCCTTCATTTCACTGGGGTTGTTGATGATCAAACTTCCCTCTATTAAACTGAAGCGATAATCACTTTCAATGTCGATTTCAGTTCCGTTTCGAAGCCATCTTAGGAAAAAAGAAAAATATAACTACCTGAGCATTCCATAGTGAAATGAAGGTATCAAGCTTAGTCTACAGAATCTTACAGTCCCAGTTGTAATAGGGACAGCTACTCAAAGATACCCTCTGCAGGACACCAATACCCTGGCAAAACTTTGGATGGAGATATTCCACAGCATGTGT